TTTGACAACGGCATGGGAACTGGTGACTTGACTGAGGATGCAGAGTACAATCTTACTGAGGCTGTCAAGAAGCTCCACTTGCCTGGCTCAAACCTCGGCGACGATGGCACTCTGGAAGGACCCACTCGCTCGCTGTGGCTTGGCAACATTCCATCTTCGACCACCGTTTCGTCGCTCCAGGTCATCTTCGCTCAGTACGGTGGAATTGAGTCTACCCGCGTCCTCACACACAAGAACTGCGGTTTCGTCAACTACGAGAATCTTGAGAGTGCCGTCCAGGCAAAGTCAACTTTGAACGGAAAGGAGATCTTCCCTGGTGCTGGCCCCGTCCGCATTGGTTACGCTAAGATTCCAAGCGCAGCAGCTACGCCTGGCCACAATGGTCTGTTCCCTTCACCGAGTCCTGACCCGTTGTCAAAGGCTCAGGCCGAGGGCACAGCTGGCTCTGCCGCCGCTACCAAGGTGGCCAACATTCCCGCGAATGTGCCTTTGACTACCCCAGAGCTCAGCGACATCCGCACCGACATCATCCAGATTGTGAAGGAGCTGGGCGCCACCGATGACGAGCAGTCAAGGATCACTACCAAGGTTGAGAAGGCTGTCCAGTTCAACAACTACGTCGACGAGATCCCATCTGTCGAAGAGCCGAGCCACACTCGCATTCACGACGCTCCTAGACTGCGAGAGATCCGCAAGCGCATCGACAACGGATCCTGCTCCAAGGAGGACATTGAGAACATCGCCATGGCCATGCTCCCAGAAATTGCTGAGCTGTCTTCTGACTATCTTGGAAACACTGTCGTGCAGAAGCTGTTCGAGTTCTGCGAGGAGCCTACCAAGGAAGCCATGCTTCGCGAGATCGCACCCCACCTAGCCAAGATTGGTGTGCACAAGAACGGAACATGGGCTGCGCAGAAGATCATCGATGTGTCCAAGTCGGAGACTATGCAGAAGATGGTCGTGGATGCTGTCCAACCTTATGCTATGGCCCTCTTCCTCGACCAATTCGGTAACTACGTCATGCAAGGCTGCCTCAAGTACCAGAAGTTCAACGACTTCATCTTTGAGGTCATGCTGGGTAGACTCTGGGATCTCGCCCAAGGTCGATTCGGTGCCCGTGCCATGCGAGCTTGCTTGGAGAGCCACTATGCCACCAAGGACCAGCAGCGCATGGTAGCTGCTGCAATCGCTCTTCACAGCGTGCAGCTCGCAACCAACGCGAACGGTGCCTTGCTCCTGACCTGGTTCCTCGATACCTGCACCTTCCCAAGGAGGCGTACGGTCTTGGCTCCCCGCCTAGTTCCGCACATTGTCCACCTCTGCACACACAAGGTTGCATACCTCACCGTCCTGAAGATCATCAACCAGCGCAACGAGCCAGAAGCTCGTGACACTATCCTACAGGCACTCTTCTTCTCTCCCAACGACCAGGTACTGGAAAGCATCTTGGCCGACCAGAACTGCGGTGCCACCTTGATCTTCAAGGTACTCACCACTCCATTCTTCGATGAGCAGATCCGTGCGGATGTAGTGACAAACGTTCGCAACGTTCTTCTTCGCATCAAGGCGCAGCCCCAACAGGGCTACAAGCGACTCATGGATGAGGTAGGTCTTTCCACTCGTGGCGGACCTGGTCATCGTGAGCACTCCGCAACCCGCCCAGCGTCGAAGGACAGCATTGCGTCTGGACCGCCAAACCCTGGGCAATTCTATCAGGGAGCGGCAGCTGGCTTCGACCCTGTCGCACTTCAGCGCACAGCAAGCATGGACTCCAATGGCTTCGAGCAATACCCAATGGGTGGTGGGCCCATGTACATGCCAAACATGCAGGCCATGAACAACCAGCAGCAGATGCAGTACCAGCAGCTCCTGGCCCGACAGGGTCAGTTCTACCCTCAGATGAACGGCTTCCAAGGCCCCGTTCCGGGCATGGATGCCTACCGCAACGCGTCACCTGTTGCGGGCCCCGGCAGCTTCAACGGGTCACCGATGATGCAGCCCGCCAACCTCGCCGGCCAGGGCATGCCCGGCATGTACCCTCCTTACGGCATGTACATGCCGCCCCAGCACCAGCAGGCGGCTGGAGGCAACCAGCGACGTGGCAGAGTAAGCAGAAATGCGTCCCCTGCTAACAGCGTCCGCCGTTAACATCTCTTCAGAGATAAACATCGCCGCGCCTGAGGGTTTAGATTCTCATCTCCTCTTAGAATTTACTGTGTTGCCAGGAAAAGCAGCACTATCTTCCTGTATATGATTCGGATCTTCACCTACAACGCATCTGCTAGCGAGCATTTTTTTGCAAAGCGGCATAACACCATACTTGCCATGTCTTCTCCTTTGCTGTCCTCGGACCTTTTACGATTTTCATATCCTTTCTTCACTCAATCGGCACATGGGCTATCTGTTGGCCGACGATCGTCCTGTCTCGTCACTCGCTCATAGCCATCTCGCTGGTGTTTCGGGGCGTACTTTGAGCAATGTTCTTCAATGTAGTCGCGAGTCGAGGGGCTTAGCTTACCTTGGCTCTGTCGGTCGGATCGGATGATCGCTGTATCGATATAAAATGCGCATATGAAGAGTTTGGTTGGAATGATATATGCGATCTGGTGACAACGCAAAAGTACCGTTACAATGTCATGATATAGGATTTTTGGGGGTCTTGGGACGTTTAGGTTCTCTTCCCCTGCGCTGCGAGGGAGAATGGGGGATCGAGCTCGAGCTTGCGAGCTAGATAGAATCGAGATTCTTGTTACATTGCCTTTACGTTCACAGCTCTGCCCGTCCTCGTTGTTATGAAGGTGGTGTAGCGTCGAAGCTTTGTCCTCTACAAGACTCATCCTAGTAGTCAGAGCGCAGTCAACAACGTCATACCGTTTTCCCAAAAACTCGCTGCGTGCGTACATCCTGACACTATAAATTCTCTACAGCCTACTTCCTTTATTATATCAAGCAAGCTCGCAAGCACAAATCTCCAGACCGCTGATAAAGCCACAATGAGCCTAGCCGCTTCCTCTTCACAAGCTCCATCGAAAGCCAACAAGTCTGGAATCTACTTTCACACTATAGAATACTGTGCCCTCAGTCGTCCATCCCCAAAATGCAACGGTTACACCATTTGCGAAGCTCTTGTCAAGACGATGAACGGATTACCGAAGTGTTATGACTGGTGGGATCGCGACACCATCGTCCAGAGCACCATGGAGCTCGAAAGATTGCAAGACACTGATGGAGGTCCAATATATCTCCGCGGGGCCGATGTAAAGCTTGAAGAAGTATACGGGCCTGCCGCTTTCAGGGCGGCGCGGGGGTTGAAGATATTGTATAAGTATAATGATATAAGATACGATGCATGGGCGAGTAAGGGGTGTGAGTATGGTGGTGACTTGCTGTTTGCATTAGATGAGCTGACATTGGAAGTAGTGCTGGATGCTCTAAAGGAGATGTTCAGTCAGTACGGGACGCAATGGGAGTGAGGATACGGAATGTAAGTACCTATGTAATACACATCTACCGATCGTGTTATAAGTTTGACTCACCTGCTGATTCATAGTAGGATATAGTCATTACTGTACACTCATACCTCGTACTGTCATTGTCACAGTCAGTACGCAAATGTTTATAACTTGATGTATCTGCTCTTGCACCTTCTCACACTCTACGCAACACCACTACTTTCATCAAATTTCACATATACGTTCTTCATCCTTGTTTACTCGCCCACATAATGGCCAGCTCGACAAAAGAGTTAGAGGAGTTACAGCTCTACTATTTTATCTTTCCCACGAAGCTTCTTCCGGAGGAAGAATATACTTCCGACGACCTCGATATTGGCTTTACCTGCTCTTCCCCTATAGCAAGAGACATCAGCGATCAATTGACGAAACACTTAAACCCGACGAGATGGGAGTGTAGAAATCTGGGCAGCCTTATCGATGACGCAGAGCGAGACGAGCCACTCATGACTCCCAAAATACATAACCACCACATACTCAAAAGGAACTCCTCATCAAATGAGAGAGATCGCAATCCTCAGACTCCGGACGGCCTTACCAAGGAGCAGATTATGGACCAATACAACCTCGAGGAGGAAGACATTATCAAGCCAGTGGGACGCTGGAAGACTTCCGACCAACGTGTTTGGATCACTGCTAAGTGTATGACAAGCCACAATATTTCGCAAAGAATGACGGTAACTAATATGGTATTCAGTGATGTCTGCACTGGAGCTTGTCACCGTATACGAGATGCGACACGAACCTGACCCCGAAACGCGTAAACTTGCCAATATCGGGTATACAAACAATCACGGCGTCATCGAAAAGACCAAGTTCGTCTGGCGCTCGTTGTGCAAGGACGTAGTAGAAACAAGGCTCATACTAGTCAATAACAAGGAAGAGCTCGAGAAATTACAGGAAGAGAATCAAACGCGAGGACATATACATCCCTTTGATCAAAAGGATAAGTGGATTACTGAAAAGTGTACGTTTTACCTGCAAGTTTCGGAAACCCATGGGAGTGATGCTAAAGGCTGTTTAGTATATGATGCATACAAAGCAAAACTTGGGAATCCGGAGGCATATAGGCGGCGTGCCTTGCTGGAAAAGATTGTACTTCTCTAGGGTCGCCAACACGATGACTGGAGGTATAGTTTTGGCCCAGATCTATACTGGTGGACTCGTGGTCTCTGGGTTCTGCAACTGGCCATGCGGATCTGGATAGCAATTCAATTTGTCGTAACAACTATGTATGCCATGGTGATTTTTTTTTTGCATCGTGGCATGTCACTCTGACTCGGGCGTGACCCACTGCAGTTTGTAGTCGCGGTTGAATGTGTCGCTCTTACTCTTTGTCTCAATGTCGACTCATCGCAAGAGTTGAGAGTCACTGGATATATATAAACCTCGCTGGGCTCAAGGGTACCTCAAACAATCATCAATCCTTTGCATAACGCTTCACTGTACCGCTTTCGATAGGCCCCGTTATCATCACCTACAGCGACCATGTTAAGGTTAAGACTCTACTTGATAACCTATCCACCGACACTTCCCAAGAAAGGCTTCATTCCCAACGAGGAGAGGTGTGTCGGCGTCACATCTCACGCCTACATTAACACATACGTCAAAGCTATAGCCACGAATTCGGCATTCATAGGCTGGAAAGCTGAAACCATTGAATGCGACCCCGAGGATCCCATCATCAAGAGATATATCGAGAAGGATGGAGGGAAAGTGAAGATTGTTGGTGATGAATGGAAACCAAATGGGGATGATGCATGGGCTACTGCTGGATGTATGTGGACTCACTTTAACCCTCCCGAGACTCTGCCATCTAATGCAGTACATAGTGATGGAAAGACTCAATAGCGGAATAGTGTTTGAGTTGGGGTACCGCAAGGAATCTGAGCAGCTTGACATTTCTAGCTATACGAATCAGTACTTCATCGCACAAGACATCGATGCCTTGAAGGATAAGCCCAAAAGATTTTGGTACATTCAAGTCTTGTTTCTCATGAATGAAGACGACCTTGAAGACTATAAGAAACTTGACGGGGGTTGTGAGCCTTTCCGCGAGGAAATTGCAGATGGGAGGAACGGCCACGGTGGATGGATTGCGAAAGGCAGTAAGTCATGCTCGCAATTCTTGGTGAATTACCGCAATATATACGTAAACATGCTAAGTCGATCTAGTACAAGAAGAATACGCCCGTGTCGTCTTAGGAAAAGTTCCTAGAGAGAAAGCTATCAAAGAGAAAGACGAAGTGGAACTGTCAAACGGAATCATGTCTATGGGGATTAGTGATAAGGCAGCATGTTCACGGGTGTGGTGACTGGGTGGTCATCCTGAACGTACACGTTTGCCGATGAATGATTACCTATGCTGAGGGCATGTAGATGTCAGTCAATACAACAAATCCCGCTCCTATATTTTATCGCTCGAAGTTCTCACCAGATCCATGGTAACTATCTGCCCATTGATTCACTAGTTTCATCGCAGTTGTATTCACACTCAGAGCCGTGACGAGCCTTTCAAGCGTCACAGCACTATTCATCACTACGAGTCATCACAGTAGTCACAGTGCACGTCTTTCAACGTGTCATATGTTTAAACATCAAAGATCTTACGCTTCACTTCATCAATGAAACCTATATCACGTTCGAGCTCCTTGTCAAAGCCGCCACATCTATTTCACCTCTTACAAAGCCTCTCTTAGCCTGAATCATGTCAGCCAAGACCGACGAAACTCAATCGAAGACTCCCGTTTTGCTCTTCAGGGTCTTCAAAATAACTTACTTTTGGCCTGAAACTGGTCTCCGTGTGGGCTACACGGACTGTATCGCAGTATATTTCACAGCTCGGAGGATACGTTATTGCGTAACTCCTGTCGCTCCTGAGATACTTCCACCGGTCAACGCCGAAGAACTCAAAACCTTGAAAGAGGAATACGGCGGAAGCGAACCCGTTAAAAACCGTAACCCATATCTCATACTCGGCTCCGATGATTGGAGGTTGGACGCTGAAGATCTTCTTGGGGATGAATACTATGATGCTGAAAGCAAGAAGCATGAAGACGATGAGGACTCGAACTCTGAAACCGATGGTGAAGAACCATGGGCAACGAGCGGCTGTGAGTTTGCTACACGAAATTGCTGCCTGGTCGATCCTGCTAACAAGCTATCTAGTGCTAGACTTTCTCGAAAAGTTCCATTCTGAAGCATCCAAGAAACCGGCGGAATATGTCTCCATTCCAGGACGTGGGGCGGAGCTGATGAAAGATTTATGAAGTAGTAGTCATTTGCTTATCCAAAACTTCATACCTCTCCCTCCTGTCTTGTACTCAATTCGTGTCGTTGTCAAATTTTGTTAGATACATCCATCTTACCATGACTACTTACCATTTGACTCATCGGTTCTACCACGGCTGGTAGTCACAGCTCACACTATTTTAGGTCTATCCATAGGCACAGTCACAGTGCTACTCATCATCACATCATCCATCTCAGTCACCATGGTGACGCAGAGCTCTTGGTATCTAGGTATTTAAACCCACTCAAGAGCTGTGTCGAAGTCTTCACAGCACCAGAAGCCCATTTCTCCAATTGTAAGACCCGATAAAGTCTCTCACTCACCCACGATGGTCAAGAAATACAAGATAACCTACACTACGGAGGGATCAGAGGCGTCCCCTAAGACAGGCCACATAGATTCCTTCTTCCTCCAGTTCCGCATCAAAGATCTGGCAGATACAGTCTTCGTAGGATGGGCAGTCGAAGTACTAGGCGATATTGGCGACAACGTGACAAAGGAGAGTTACTTCCCTCAAGATGATGGAGAAGCGGTGGAAATCGACGCGAAGTGGGGGCTGAACAAGCAGCGACATGCTACAGCTGGATGCAAGTGTCCTCCTGCAAAATACTACATGACTCAATGAACTCACAGTCTTCTTAGTAATGTTAAGACTGGATGAACTCTGGCCAGTAATTGAGAGGACCAACGTACACGAAGTAAGATGCCCTATCGCGATCCATAATAGTACAAAGATCGAGACCACCCATACGAACGATCTGGAACTTATCGGAATGATCGCATTTATCCAAGAGTGGCTGCGTAGCGGAAAACAATGGGAGTTCAAATCCATCGATGTCAAGAGCCATGAAGAACTCGTGGAGATTCAGCGCAAGAACGGAGGAGCTACACGTACATATGCCAAAGCTGAGGATGAAGTAGACGACGAAGATATTGACCGAGGGTACGAGGGGTGGGTCACGCCAGGACGTAAGTATCAGGTCTCACATCTAACATAGTAGATGCAGTACTGAACAGCAATCTAGTGTATAAAGCGATTGAAAGAGCTTACGATTCCGCATACAGAAAGGAAGCCAGAATCCAGCATGAGGAGTCCCAAAACGTTCGCCGCGTACGATATTATGCAATGATTGATGGTCACAGGCAGCCGGTGATTGGCCGCACGAACTCCGATCGTGTTTTTGCGAATATCAACAACATCAACGACGATATCAAAAAAAGAGACCCAAGTACCAAATGTCTTTGGGAAATCTTGGACTGTCCGTTCAAAGACTACGAAGAACTCATCGAAGAACAGAGATGTGATGGAGGATGTATAAGAGCGCGCAAAAAGGGCAAGGACTATGGCGACAAGAATGACGATATTCACAGAGTTGACGAGAAATGGTACAGAGAGGAAAACCCTGATTATTCAGGATCAGAATCGGAGGACGACGAAGAAGATTACTTTGAAGAATGCTATGAAGGAACATGGTCAACTAGGGATCGTGAGTCTCTCTTTCAAAGTTAGCAGGTTGTGAACGATGCTGATGACCATTTAGTGCTCATCGCACAAGACAAGGCCGCGAAGAAAGCTGATTGGTTTCCTAGTCGTCTCCGACTGGAGAATGTCAGCAAGAAGACGCAGCCTTCTACAGAGAAAAAAGGCCTCAAAAAGGAGAGCAGCAACCGTAAAGAGGAAGGAGAGCAGCACGTCCTTTGGTGGATGAAGCGTCAAGGGTGATCATATCAGTTACCTCGTTAAATAGTCTGATGGTTCCCCAAAGGTTTCAGTCTGTAATCAAATGTGCAACTCACCAAATAAAAGACAACTATGACAGAGTCAGATCACAGGAGAAGTACCACAGTGGGAACAACAAAACATCGATTTTGGCCGCCCCATATAAACTGAGCGTGGGTATCATGAACTGCCTGAACGTGCCGTAACTCCATGACGAATACAATTAAATCTTAAACGTTGAAAAACATTGCTGAAAGCAAACCCTGGAGGTCCTCAGCGCGTCAAAACCCAAACACTCAATGACCGTTGAGACCGTCGCTGAATTTCCGCTTTTTGGCCTCGCGCTCACCATCCTGAGGCGGGCGGTATTGGTCCAGCTTGCCCTGTAGCCGGTACGTTTCCCGCTTGATATTCTCCGCGTTGGCCAAAAGGTCCATCTCGGTAACCGGAGCTTCAATACTAGCCAGCACGCTCCTAACAGTGCTGATATGATTGGCATCCTTCTTGTCGTCGCGCCAGCGCGGCGTACCATCTGCCTCGGCCTTGTATTTCCACTGTCCACCTTCTGTGCGGTAACATTCTATGATACGGCCGTCGAGGCGTTGGTTCAGGGATTTGAGCGTCTCCCATTCGGCTGGGGTGACGGAAAGGGTGGCGAAGACTTCGTAGTGGTTCTGGTTGTGCTGCACGAGCAGTTGGAGGGGGGTGGGCATGGCGTCGTAGTCGGGGATGAGGCCGTCTTCGCCGTCTTGTGGGTCTATGAGTGGGAAGTCGCCGAGGCGGAGCTTGAAGTCGATGGTGTTCTCGTGCGGTGGCTTCCACTTGAGGATGTGTCTGTCGGTACCGAACTGGTAGGGTGTGGATACGCAGGTGAAGATCAGGCCGTCGTTGCCGTGTCGGAGGTTGGGGAGGATGCTGCTGAACATGTCCTCGAGCTTGTATGCAGGGTAGGTCTTCTTTCCTTTGAGTGCAAACGGCTTCAGGTCGTCTGGTGTAATGTTCTTGCCAAATGTCCTAGTCAAGCCGGCTTCGTACGGCTTGATGACCCATTCATGCAGCCGACCCAACCGCTTGTCCAGTGTCCTTTGCGTCACATTTGTATTATCCACCGCTAAGCAATCGAAGACATAAAAGTTGAGACGTGGCGCAGGCTCGTTCGGATATTGGTCGTGGACCAGCTCGCCGTCCAGAAGGGTTCCGAATAAGAATGGCTCGGCTTCGTTCAGGTGCTGGTAGTGACGTATGCGAAACGGAGGCTGGACGTTGTAGTAGTTATTCTTCCTGTCGATTAGGAAAGTCACAGGCTCGAAAGCTCCGGTCGGTCCCTCTTGCCAGTGCAAGTAGAGCAAGCAGCGCAAGCCGTCTGTCTTCTCGCACATGTAGTATTCATTGCGCTGGAGCTCGGTGACGTGTTCGCGCGAGAACGATACGGGTTGCGCGCCGGGGAAGCGTGGGTTATCGCGTTCGAGGAGTTCGGCGACGGATTGTTTGAGTGGATGCGCCTCGTCATTCGGTATTTGGAAGCCTGGAATCTGCGGCGGCGCGTGCGATGGTAGTGCGGCGGCCGGCATATTGGGAAGATACTGGAGGTATTTGCGGCGCTGTAAGAGTTAGGGCTTCGAGCGCGATATGATTCGTATGCGGAAGCGATTGGAGGAGGGTTGGAACTTGTTCGTGGTCGCAACAACAGTTGTACAAGCAATAGATCGCCCGGGCGAGCTTACGCGCTAGTGAAGGGTCTGCTTATGTAATCACCAGCTGCGCTGCGTGGTGACGGCTGTAGCATGACCCATCATGCTCCCGAGGTCCTGACCTCAACCACCGTTTAGACGAAATTTTCTGTCGCATTAGATTCGTCGAAATTCATTCTGCTAGCGTACCGACTGCCCGATTTACTCTATTGCAACCATGGTACTACGACCGCGCACAACGCCGCGCCTATCAGCCATTTCCAAGCAAATAATACCAACATACCTAAGAAAATGAAAACTAAGAGACATACATTCCTTTGCTCTTGCCAAGACTTCTTTCCCTCTTCAACAAAATCATCACCACAATTCTCACATCCAGTTACTACCAGACCCCACACTCACGATGAGCGACTTACCCACGGAGATATGGGCAATGGTGTTCGCATATTCCGACGATACCGAACACCTCTGGCTTGTCTGCCGCGAAGTCTCTAGCAATCTGAAGGCTGCCGTCGAAATTTACATCAGCACCATCTTCCTCCCAAATTTCCTCACGGTATCCCTCGAATATCAGAGAAAAAACAAATCGACCATATCCTGCAGTCGCGGTCTTTTCAAAGGATACTCCCCAGACAAAACCCTTGCTTACTTCGATATGAGCCGTAACGACCGGCCATTCATTCAGTACATTGACACGCAGCGAATGTGTCTCTACGTCGACAAACTACAAAGGGGATGGACAAACAAGGGGTTTGAAGTGCTGGCGAAATTGAAAGGGCCAGATCACGACCGTGCGATCTTTGTCAGACTTTTGGATGGCGTCACTGCTAGCCCTGCGGATAGTAACGAGGGAGTTCTCACCTTTGGGCTCGACTTGGAAGATAGGATCTTGTCCTTTGACTGGCGAGAGGTCATGACCAAGAGCTTCATGGATAGTACTGATTGCGGGGGATATCTTATCGACCACCTGGCGTGGCGCGGTCGTGATAACAGGTTTCCCTGGTGGTGTTAGTGGTGGTTTTGGACTGCTCTATCGGAAATGAAGTTGGGAATGTTTGTGGGATGAAAAGGAAGAAACAGCTCTGATGTATTGCTAAGGATAGGCTCTATCGCGATTGCACATATCAAATGGAGAGTGTTTGAGGGCTGTATAAGAGGTTTTGTTGGCACTGAACTCTAATCAAAGGGTATGTAGTCTAATGGCCAAGACGCCCACTCTTTCGAGGGTGTCGTCGGGCTAATGAGCTCGACGATTCATGGAGATGCGGGTTCGAGTCTCGCTGTATCCAATCACCTTTTGCTTTTTGTATCGTTCTTTGGCTGGTCTATTGGAGATGGACTTAGAGATGTCTGGCGAGGGACAACAAAGAACCGCCATGACGAATGCGACAAAGAAGCACCACGAGGACTGTACATCGCGATTAAGGACATCTTCGCGGTATTTAAGAGGTATTATCCGTGTTAAATTTCAGTCAAAGGGTACATGGTCTAATGGCAAAGGCGCCCACTCTTACGAAAGTGAGAGTGACGCTGGACTAGACGGTAACGTCTAGCACAGCGGAAGGAGATGCGGGTTCGAGTCTCGCTGTATCCAATTGCATTTTGCTGCTTGTATTGTTTTTGTCTTCATAGTTGTCATCTCGTTCTGGATTTGTGCTTCTTGGTCGACACATAGTCCTAGCTAGTCTGAGGACTAGAGACTGCTGTACTTTAGCTATCTCGTCAAACAAAACAAAGGATCAACCAAACTACTTCAAGTTCCCGCAGCTATGTGTGCTGGGGTAGGCTAATGTTTTGTTAAGAGGTAGACGTTGGTGGACGCGAGCATACCGAGCTCGCTTTTCACTAGAAAGCCAGGCCTTATATTGGGAAAAAAGCGCCTCAGCATCCAAGCTTTCACTTAATTCAACGCCACTCCCTCGTACTATGGAAGGTCTGCGCTTTTTCTCGAAAGGGCAGATTGCGTGTTCTAGTACAGACTTTCAAGTTTTCGGGGAGCAACCCATGCATAACTCCACCGAAACCGCCATGTTGTTACCAACCCTTTCTCTCTTTCTAGCATTCGTCACCGCTTGTCCACCGCCTCTTAACAGCTTCAAATATGTGGCCAATGATACCCACACAACATCACAGATGATCTCAAGTCTACTCGTATCTAGAGACGAGTCTTCACTAGATCGCAGATGGACTGAGATCGTAACTATGGTATGCTCATCCCTACGCTCCAACGCATGACGTCCAACTGACCGTTCAGCTAGACCGGACAACCTCGTACAGTGTGGCCCGACGGACTGGTCCGATACTGTTACGAAGACGAGGGCGCCCGCAATAACTTCAAGGACGATATCGACGCAGCCTGGAAACTCTGGGTGGATAAGATCGGTGAACCTGGTTGCCCAAGCGGTCACATACTTCAGTTCAGGGAGTACAGAGTCAAGGAAGGCGTGTGGCCGTACTGCTACAACAAACGCGAAAAGGATGACGACCCCTGGGTCTGGAACAAGCACGTCAAGAACGACATTGCCGTTATTGCGGAATCCAAAGATACTGAGACTCAAGCTTCTTCGGTCACGGGCTACATACCAAAAGAATGGAGCGACGAGCAAGGGCGACACGGCATCCATCTCGGTCTCGCCTTCAAGCAAAAGTACCCGCCAGATTACTGGATCACAACCGTCGCCCACGAACTAGGCCACCTCTTCGGATTCTGGCACGAGCACCAACGCGAAGACCGCAACGACTACGTTCACTTCGACTGCTCCAAACTGCGGGGTTACGCAGCTGCGAAAGCGAAGGTCGAAGCAGCCAAGGAACACACCATGGAACAAGTCTGCGCCGACTACCGTCTAGCTCTCCAATACGACTTCCCCGCTGTCCAAGACTACGATACCATCGACCATATCGCGCCTCTCCGCGAGGGGGGTATTGAGTTACCATTGTACATCAACAGTGACCTAGAGTTCGACGATGAATCCATCATGTTGTATACCTCTTCGGAGTTCGCGAACGATGGCGCGAATACAGACGACGTCCTGCAAGTTCCATTAGCATTCTGGAAACACCGCGGTATAGGTTTCGATCCACCAAACCCAGTCACAAAAGACGACCTAGAAATCATCGACGTGCGATGGAAAGTCAGTGACGGAGATGCAGACGGCGTCCGTCATCTCTATCCATACGTGGACTCGGATGAAGAAATGGAGAAGAGAAAAAGAGACCAGCCTGGCCGCCGTACCTGGATAGAGTGGACGTCTGAGGTTAATAGCATGGTATAACTGATCTGATACCAAGGTAGAAGTATTATGTATTACAAAGACATGTAAACGGCGATACGTTCGTTCGGTCAACGAACAGCGCCGTATCTGTGAGATAGATGAAGAGCAAGATCTTGAGTGGGGTATATAGCGAACCGAATGAATCCAACCGGCCCAGTACGTCGCCGCGCAAGATCGTCCAGTTCGTCGTTGTGTACCGTTAACGCCAGAGATCCAAAATCCAAAATCCAAAAAGGCGCGTAGTCCTACATAACGTACATAATGTTACAGCATATTACAACAGGTTTGCGAGCCAACCGGGGGCTCGTAACTGGATCCAAAAAAGAACGCCTCGCTGGAAAGAATGGTCCCGGATCCCGTAGTAGTGGTGGTGTTACATATATTACAAATGACATGTTCTCGTAAAACACGTCGCAGTTGCGTCGGTCGGTGAAATCAACGCGTGCAGCTCCTCTCTTTCATCTTATGTTTAGAAGAAGCCCTTGCTCTTCCCAGATCCAAGTTTCGGACTCATAGGTCCAAAGAGCTTCATATCGGTGTTCATCTTCTTGACAAACACCAGATATGCCTCTAGCGCCTCATCTTGCGTCTTGAAAGTCTTATCCCGATTCATCCACATTTTCAGGTATTTATCCGCACCGACATCTTTCAGCGCTGCGTACCAACCTCCCGAGGAGCGCTGGCGCAGCGATATAGCGAGGTTCTTGCCTTTGAGACCAGTGACGTTGGACGCTTCGCGCAGGCAGGCGGCGCGTAGATCGCTGTATTCGTCGTCTTCGAGGGAAGAGGAGGAGGAAGTTCGCTCCATCTTTGGTCGCGACGAGGAGGTGCGAGCATCGAGCTTAGGGCGCGAGGGTTCTTTAGGTTTGGGCGCGGGTTTCGATTCGGTCTTCTTACGTGAAGGGGTAGAAACCTTGGGTTCTGGGGCTTTCTTTGGCGGCGCGACGGCTTTGGGTGTCGGTGGTGTCTTCGGTCGCGAACTTGACTTCTTCTCCGGTTTAGACGACTTCTCGGTCTTTTCGGATTTAGATTTTTCTGACTTTTCGGTCTTTGAAGACTTCTCTGGTTTTGATGCGGAAGGTGTGCTGGTTTTTGACGGCGCGGAGGGTTTCGATGCGGTAGCTGTCTTGGAGGACTTCGACTTCGATGGCGTTGGCGGTGTGGGCTTCTCTGGTGGCGATGTTCTCGCCTTGAAGGAATCGAAAGGACTTGGCCATGCGCCTATGGCTTTTGGTGTTTCTTCGACCACTGGCGCATCTTTCTTTGACCTGGAAGTTTTCGCGGGCGTCTTTGGTTCTGGGGCCGCCTTAGTCGCAGCAGAAGCCTTGAGTGGCGCGCCTCTCCTTCCCGTCGCGACCGGAGGCGGAGGAGCAGCGTCAGGAACCGCAGCCTCTCCAAAAAGCTGTCGTGCTCTATCCTTTACACTGGGAAACATCGCGTGTTCGGATCTGGGGTGGTATAACTCGGGCCGACTATACTGCTGGTAGAATACAAAGTGCTAAACGCGCGATTACGATTAAGAGGTACTACAGATACACAATGACAGCGCGCGTCAAGACTATGCGAAATGGGAGAAGTAAACAAGATGCGTAAAGAGATGGAAACATTACTGGGGACCTCGGGATGGGGATACGGATTATTCTGGTGCCTAGTTGTGCAACCATGACACGCCCCCATGCCGCATCGGCCAGCATGCGAACAGGCGTTCACATCCAAATTCTGCGTAAATGAGCTAGCGGCCGCTTCTAGAACGCCTGAGAGCATCTCGGAATGCGGGTGGCAAGCGGGTCCCGCGGTTGTTGTTTTGAACGTTATCGATTGAGCATGCTGGACGCGACTCCTGCCATGCGCGCCCAACGTGACCTCAGCATTGTGTCTCGACTTGATCAGCTTGGAAGCCCGTCTGACAACTGAAAACAAAATCGTTTCATGGTGAAATGGTGTACATTGCGATGACCGTTAGGGGCAGTAACGTTACGAGCCACAGTGGCCCCTTTTCCGGAGAACCGGGCTGTGCGGGAAATTGGAACGGGGACGAAGGACGGCGCGGCAAACACCTTCCGGATGAGAACAATGGCCACAACGCTGCGCAAATGGTGTTGAAGGAAACAGTGGCATCATTGCCAGACGTTCGTGATGGAGATGAGATGACTTGCGATAAGGTGAGTTATCTTGGGCTGCATTGTGCATGCTGCACGTCAGTCAACGTGCAGCGAAACGGGTTCGGGATGTGGTATAGCGGGCTCCACCCCTTTAGCGCACCCTATTTTGAGCCACGTCTCTCATCTCATCCCAGATACCCCATATCTGGCCTTCGCTTATCCAGTCGTTCGCGATCGCTAGGGATGCCTTGACATCCTGCTGTACCAGTCGCTTGGGTTCTCAAACTCTGGAATTCCTGTAGCACAATGGTAGCTCCAAGGTTGTCTATTGCTTGTCTGTGATTATCCCAGCGCTTCCATGACACCCGGATCACTCCCAGCTCCCCGTAAACTTTACCAGTCCCAACCATTCTGCTTTTCAGCCGTTACTATGGCGTCCCCTCAAAAATCCATCGTTATGGCTCCCCAGGTACTGGCCAACGACCCGATCAGCAGCTCCAATAGACCGAAGCGAGTAAACCGTACGTAAAACACAAAGAAAGGCTAAGCATATGGCCCAACAATTTCCTGTGTTTTGGCCCAAACCTTGTCCTGGGCGCCGCTCGCCCTCAATCTCGCCAGCGGCTTCTCGTTCAGCGTCGTCTCACAAGTATGCCATATCAGGAACAAGCCTCCGTCTTTCTGTCCTACCGTGTTCTTCCCTTCCTCAATACCTTCTCTCAACGGCACACCCTTCCTTCCAAAAGCCGCACTGGTAATTTGGTACAAATACCTCTCACCAGCCTCCTCTTCCCTATACGTCATAATCCTGATAACCGGATCCATGAACATCCAAGCCGCCCACGAGCCCCAGGACCCTTCCTTGAATCCGCGAAACAGGTTTCCAGTTCGCACACTCCCTGGAGCCGCATGTATGAAGACGATATTCTTATTCTCTGGCATTGCCGCGAGGCGTTCGAGTGATAGCGTGGCCATGTTGATCATATGTATCATCGTAGTCATGCCCCCGAAGGCACCTGGAGCTTCGAGTAGTAAATCATCTGGTTTGAAGAACCAGTCGGTTTCCATTCCGCCTGCGCGTACGCTTATTACGCGTGCGCGATCCGAGGCGCGGAGGAGGGGAAGGAGGTTTTGTGTGAAGCAGAATCGCGCGTAGAATTCTAGTACCTGGCTGATGTCTAGGCCTTCGGATGTAGCTGGGCATGTAAGTTTTTGAT